GAACTCATAGATACAAAGAACAGACCAGTGGTTGCCAGAGGTGGGGGTTGGAGAGTAGGTGAAATGGGCAAAGGGGGTCAAAAGGTATAAACTCCAGTTATAAAATGAATAAATGCTGGGGATGTAATGTACAGCATGGTCATTATAGTTAACAACACTGTATCATATATTTGAAAGTTGCTAAGAGTACATTTTAAAAGTTCTCATCACAAGAAAAAAATGTATAACTATGGATAGTCACGGACGCTAACTAGAATAATAGTGGTGATCACCTCACAATATATACATGTAATAAATCATTATGTTGTACACTTCTAACTAATATAATGTTATATGTTAATTATATCTAAAAAAAATCCCACCTTTCTGGACCCCACACTTCTTTCTAGATACTGGCCTATGTCTCTCCTCGTGTTTGAACAAAACTTCCCCAATGCAAGCTATTATTTGTTGCTTCTCCTTCCATATTTTGCAAACTTTTCACAGCTCACTCCACTTGACCTTTGGTCTTCTCCAGGTTCCCCAAACCCCTCTTGTTAAAATCACTGACATCACCTATAGCTGCCAAACCCAGTGGTTTCCTCCTCGTCCTCATCTGACTGGACTCTCAGCAGCAGTAGACAGAGCTGGCATTACCCTCCTTCCTGAATCACTGTCTCTTGCCTCCACTTACACCACTCTGCCTGGTTTCTCTCTCACCCCAGGGCTCCTCCTTCTTACTCTCCTTTGCTGGCATCTCCTCCTCTTGGAACTTCAACATGTAGGAAGGAACATCCCAGGCTAAGACTTGGGGCCCTCTCTCTCTCTCTTCCCCATCTCCTCCTCCTCCCTATCTGGTCTGTCCAGCAATATGTCCCAGCCCACAGCTTCAGTTACCATCTCCCAAATATATTGTTAGTTACCAAATGCTCCCAAATATATTTTTCTCACCCTGTGCTCTAGACCATACTCCAACATCCAGTTACCGACTTGACACATCCATTTAGCTATCTAAACAGGGATTTCAATGCAGCGTGTTCAAAACAGAGCACTTACTTCCCTCTGTCCCCTAATCTGGTTCCTGCCCACTCCTCCCATTTCAGAGATTGGAAACATTGTCCACACCAATGGTAAAGCTGAAATCTAGAGTTGGACCTAACTCCTTTCGTCCCCTCACCTAATCCACTGTGTGGCTTCCGGAGTCTGCCTCTGACTCTAACACTGATCTGACTCTCCTTCCTCCTTTTATACCGTATCCTCATGAAGTACCACCATTTCTCCTCTGTAATGATGTAACAGGCTTCTAACTGGTCTCAGGATTGTAAGCCAAAGCAACGGCTTAAACACATAAATCAGATAATGTGACTTTTCAGTTTAAACCTTCATGACTTGCAATTTTATTTAGAATAAAGGCCAAACTGCTCACAGTGACCGTAAGGCCCTATGTCGCACATGAGCTGGCCGCTGCCCAACCTTCCAAGCCGCTTCTTCCCTGTTATGTTTTAGTTAGCCTGGACTTCCTCTGCTCCTTGAGCACATCTGGTGTTCCCCACCCAGAGCTTGTATTCATTCCCTCTGTCTGGAGCACTCTCTTCTCAGTGTTCCCATCGGCTTCTTCTCAGAGTTCTGGACTGAAATCAAATGTCATCTTCAGAGAGGCCTTCCTGAGCACCTTATCCCATTAGTCACCTTTATTTCCAGCATGTGCTGGTGCTGGAATTATCTATGTGTTTACTGGTTTACTCTCCCTCCTCTTCCAGAGTCTCAGTGCAGCGAGAACAGGGGCCTGTCCTGCTCACCGATGTGTCCCCAGGGCTCAGACCATGGCCTGCCTTACAGGAGTCCCTTAGTAAGTCCTTGAAGGACGACTCAGGAGTGCTCAACTACCTGCCCAGAAAAATGCTGTGCTCAGATCGTAAACCCTGTTACTAGATTGAGGTGAGGATCCAGCTGCCCCACGATAATGAGTTCATTTACATTTTATTCTGTAGTGGTTAAGAGGGGAGGCTCAGAAGTCAGACTGCCTGGCTTGGAATCCTTGAATGCCAGATATGTGTGTATGTGTGAGAGAGAGAGAGAGAGATCTTGGGCACACTGTGTGTGTGTGTGCGTGTGTGGGTGTGAGAGAGAGTAAGCCACGCAATCTTGGGCCTCTCTAAGGCTCTACTTAGCCACTCCAAGCTTCAGTTTCCTCAACCCTAAAATGGGGGTGATTTTGTAAGGATTAAATGAAACAATCCACGTAAAAATGAAGAACAATGCTTGGTTCCTACTTAACATTACCTAAACATTAGTTATTGTTCTTAAGCTGTAATCTCTTTTGTATCATTCTAAAATTTGATGCATAAGACAACAAAATTTAGATAGTTTCCAACTAGTAGGTCATTAAACTCTTAGGGAAGAGTTTGCTGAGACTTTAAAATTCTGTAGACAACTTCCTATCCTCTGATAGACACCCTCCCCCCCTCCAATGACTATGCGCTGACGTAGTAACAGCAACGTGGTTTAGAAACAATTCAATAGGGACGTGTCTGAACCTAATTTAGTGCTGGAATAAGTAAAATATAAAAATTTCTTACTTTCAGTCATAATGTGAGTCTAAGAATTTATATGAAGTTCTCTTCCATTTCATGTAATTGTTCTGAGGGATAAAAACACACTAAAATCTATCAGGTTTTTTTTTTGAAATTATTATCCATATTTCTCATGGCCAATGAGCCACTTTTTTAAAGCACTTTTCATTAGGCTTAGGAGACTGAATCTTTATTCTGCCTCTGCCCAGCTTCCTTATCCTTTCTTCACACACAATCTATCTGAAGTCACAGATACCCAATGGCTGGTGGGCTATCTGAGTGAGTTTAGCGTTATCATGTGAAAAACAGTACACTGGAAAAAATCCACTATTTTTGTTGAAGACCTGGGCATGAAATATATGTGACATACAGAAACGGGGGTGTACTTTTTCCATATTGATAACTCATCCATATGATTTCAAAGGCAGGAGAGGACTGGCAGTTCAGGAGCTTCTACATAGAAGAACCAAATTTAATGAAATAAAATTAAAGACCACATTTTGAATGGTTTGGGTCTACCAGAGTCACATACTGACACTGGTTTCAGAGGCAGAGAAATATTTCCTTTTATTATATGAAAAGTAGGTATAGCTTATATATGTCTTGCAGGTAATCTTTAAGTTAATTAGTATCCTTGTAACACTTTACATATTTTTATTATGTCACTTATCATAACATAACTTATCATTTTATATTCTTTTTTTTAATGGGTCCATCTCTGCTGTTAGATTGGGAACTGCTTGTTATCAGAGACGGGTCTTAATCATATTTGTATCTGCGCTATCTGGCAGATAGGAGGGTCTTAATAAACGTTGGCTGAATTGGGTTGGCAGGCTAGTACTGAAACCTAAAGTGATTTCATCTAACATCTGTATTATAGAAGCAATACACATTAAAACTCACCACATTTCTAGCAATGCTGGAAGCAAACAAAGCATTAATTTTAAAAGGTTCTACGTGAACTTGGATTTGAGAGACAAATGTGATTGTCAGGAGCAAACAGGTTTTTTATCAAAGTTCAAGTCCCTTCATCATATCCTAAAATGCTTCAAGAAGTCTGCTACACAGCCTGCCCAGGACTAATACTAACTTATTAGTTCAATGTTAAAAATCTTTTTGTCATTCTTTTTCTATTCATTTAGCACGTTGAAATGTGTGTGACATAGGGGTTAGGAATATGGGCCTGGAGCAAGACTGCCTGGGTTGGAAACCTTATATGACTTTGAATGAGTCCCTTTAACCTCTCTGGGTCTCAGTTTACCCATTTGTAAGAAGAGAATACTAAAAATACCTCACAGGCTTATAGTGACGTTTAAATGGCTATGTATGTATATATGTGCATTTATAGGTGCTATGTAAGTATTAGCTATTGTTATATAAAAAAATGCTTGCTTTTATTAGCAGGACAAGGTCCCTTGAGGAGTTCACAGATGTCTGCTTTCAAAGACAAGGCAGAGAATTCTTTTATTAAAAGTAAAGGTTCATACTTTTAGTAAGCAGTAACAGTTACTTCTAAGACTAATTTTTTTGATCAGTTCTTGAAGGAGTATAAATGATGATTCACATATTGCTTTCTTCTACTTTAATAAAGAAATCTGGTGGTATTAATCAGTAACAAGAAAAATAGTAAAAAGATGAAAATTAAGGTAATGGAGACCTCAAAGACTTTAATTTTCTTTCTATATTTTAACTACTATTTTGAAAAGCAACCAATTAATACGGTCCTCACCAATTTACAGATTTCAGGACAATATGAACACCATGGTGCTTAAAATGCTTCCAATGTAAATTACTGGTATTGATCAAAATGCAACAATAATGTAAAATCATATACTTTGATATCAAGTTTTCTAATTCCCTATAGGCAGAGTCTTGTCAAAAATGAATTGATAGAACAATAGAAATATTCTACTTTCTGCCTACCCCTCTTTAATACAACAATGATTCTTGAAATTTTTTCATTTAGTGGTTGCAAGATGAACATTTAGCAGGAATAACAGAGTCTTAACAAAAGAAAAAGATTCTAGAATTTAATAAAAATGAGAACACAAAATATTCAATCACTTAATGTTCTCATGAAAGATTTCGTAAATCATTTATAGTTTAATTTTGGTTGACAGATATGGTATTTCAATATGTTCCCATTCTTTATTCACATGGTAAACCAAAAAATAAGCTGGGTACTTTATATTTTAAATAAATTCAAGTTAATGTAGCAGAAATGTTTTAAATTAAAAGGAACAAATGTTGACATTAGACATAGCTGATGTATGCCTAAGTGTCAGAACTGTTCAATTTATTTATAAACTTTTCAGGAGAAATGAGGTTTGAATCACAACACCATTACGCTGTTTGCACTAGCAAAGTGTATTCACAATGAAGTCCTGAAGCCGTGGATACTCAAGCTGTTAGACAATTCACACTCCTGTACCACGCACCTCTCCTTACCTTCAATGAACACCTCGGCAGATGTTGTGTCTGAGCCGCTGGGGTTGGTAGCCAGACAGGTATAGCGACCTGTGTCGTCCTCAAAGGCCTCTGCTATGATCAGGGTATGGAGGTCTCCACCTTCACAGTGGATCTGAATGTCAGGAGTGTTGTACAGCTCCTTCCCCTCACAGAACCATCTGCAGGCCAAATGGAGGTCAGAGGACAGGAGAGAAAGAAAGGAAATGGGGATGTTTAAAATAATAAAGCAAAAGTGAAAGCCTAGATGCTATGTAATAAGACGCTTGTTTGATAAAAAAAAAGATTGGTGTCAATGTTACTGATGGAAGCGCTACACTTTAGACCATGAAATTAATGACCAGACAATTCCCCCAGGTTTTCTTTGTAAAGCATCATGTAACAACCTTGAAATAAGGGACATCGTCAAGCTTGGAAAGACCATCTCAGTTACAAAACAAAAGGAAAAGAAATTCAAAATGTCTTATAAAATGTTTTATCATAAATGCCTCTTACGTTTATTACCATTTTATCTATTATTCTTATCTAAAGAAAAATATGAAAGTAATATAAACATTATGCTCAAAATATCTAACGTATCAAGGGAAACTAGTCATCATGTTAAAAAAATCATAGGCAGCAATATTTTTGTTGACCCGAAGACTTCTGATCAGCTGAGCAGTAACAGATTTAATGCCTTCCACATTTCTGATATTTACAAAACTCTCTAGCCGACCACATGGCTTCCACGATGGAGAGCGATGTGGCGGTCGTGCTGTAATTCATTCTTGCTGGTCAGCACTTTCCTTTCCCAAATAAGCAGGACCTTGGGGTGGGAGGCTGCAGGCTGCCAGACTGTTTCAACACAGGTTCTCCCTCACAGTCCTTACTTTATTCCCCCAGCAACTCAAACTCGCAACAGGATTTTTACCAAAAAAAAAAGGGAAGCCACCCTAATCTGCTCCCCCCACAATGTGATTTATTTTTATGAAATATGTAGGAATGTTCCACTTACAACTGAAAGGACTGAAATCTCTGGGATAGTATTGTCCATTTAGCTCTTAATCAGTACTTAGAGATTTTCTCTGAGTCTAATCTTCTAGAAAATTGTTTGGATTCGGCAAACTTTGGGGAAAATATGGCACTTAAGACTAAATTTTTCTGCATTTAGATGGCACAATGTATTTGTCTATATCTGAAAATAAAGTTAATAAAAGAAGTCAGTTTGCTAATATCCAGAGTATTAACTCCAGAAACTATATTAAAAAAATAAATATGAGATACTCACAAAAGAATAGATATGACTTTGGGAATTAAAACGCATTAAAACCCAGCCAACTGAGCAACCTATGCAATGTAATCCATATTACTCTTGAGGCAATTGAGAAGGGCAATATTTCTTGATTCTGGGGCACTGTGTGGTTTCCTTTCTTTCATAAAGTCTTGGAGAACATTCCAGCCTAGAGCCATCTTCCACATCCTTCCCTGTTCTCTTTCCGCAGTCACAGCCCAGATCTGCTCCCATGAGAACAGACTACGGCTTAAGTCTTTTCACTGATCTCTCCATCTCCAACAAGCTATCAATTCTTTCCTTATTCTGTATCAGATTAAACCTATTGAAAGTCTTCCCTATGGACATCATTCCCCAAACTTCAGATCCTTTTCATAGAACTTGGCCCTGATTTTATTTTCTATCATTTTCCTATGCTAATCCACTGCTTCAGTCAAATATTTACACGGATTTATTTTTCCCTACACAGCCTCATGTATGACTTGTCTACTTTCTCCTCCTTGGAATTCTCTCCTTACCCTCTTCACTAATCCCATTTAGGAACAAGACTTCCTTAAGGTCAAGCCAAAGGCCCCTTCAACAGACTAAATGCAAGTGAACACGTGCTTGCTGGGCACCTTCTACGGGGAAGGCATTGCATTACGTGCTACAGGCAATAGAATAATGCCTGCTAAACTCTGCAACTAGTTAAGGAGTTTGTCTTTCTGGACTCTCAGTTAGAGTGTTTTATCTTCCATAAAAAAGATACAAACTACCTATTAGAGGGAAAAAGCAGCATGAAAAAATGCAAAGAAGGTTTAAAAGACAGAAAGACCAATTGCTTTGGCTAGATACATTTCATAGGAAAACTTCTGCCAACTACCCAAGGGAGCGTAGCGTCTCGTCCTCTAACTCAAGAGTCAGCAAACTTACAGCCGGCAGGCCTCCTGCCTGTTTTTGTATGGCCTGCAAGCTAAGAGTGGTTTTTATATTTTTAAATGTTAGGAAAAAAATCAGAATATTTTGTGACATGAAAATCATATGAAGTTCAAATTTCAGAGTCCACAAATAAAGTTTTTCTGTAACGCAACTATGCTCATTCATTTACCTGTTGTCTATGGCTGCTTTGGCATTACAGAGACAGAGTTGAGTAGTTGCAACAGACTGTATGGCCCACAAATCCTAAAATATTGATATCTGGACTTTATAGAGAAAGTTTGCCAATTCCTGCTCCAACTTCTTGTTCCTCGAAGTGTGATCCTTGGACCAGCAGCATTAGCATCATTTGGGAATTTGTTAGAAATGCAGAATCTTGACCCTCATCCCAAATCTACTGCATCAGTTCAGATCCCCCAGGTGACTCACACACACATAAAGGTTAAGGAGTTCTGGTCTATTATGTTTGGACCACACTAACTTGAATCACAGAATCCTGGCTCTCCATCTGGGTTATCCACTTCTTTAATACAGCAACCATATTTTATGTGTCTTGTATCTCTGGCCTCTTGTACATAAGTGCATGCAAAATTGTGTTCTATTTGTTTGTTTCTCCCACTTCTGTACTCAAAAAATTTTAACATCATTCATTTGACAATTGATCACATATCACTTTGTGATATCTTCTGTATTTGACACCTAATGCATTATTTGAGAGCTCATACCATTAGGTCCTCATACCATTATTTGAGACCTAATACATTTTGCCTTGTTTTCCCACGTAGGAAATCAACTTACGATGGTAGAAAAAGGTGGGGGTTTTTTTAAACTTTTTTAATTGATCCATTGTATTTGTAAAGATGCTGCTTTAAAAATACTACCTGCCACTCGTTACTTTAGAATGTGCTTCCCATGAGAAAACAAACAGTGAAGGATCTGTGGCAGATGCTACATATTATCTCTCATTCCTTGATATTTGCAATTTACATTTTCTTATTAAAGGTCCTGAGAAGTCCTGCAGAAATTTAACATTTTTAATCTAGTACTTACCCAACTCATTTGACCATGAGATTCTTGCTCATTGAGCATCTACTAACGTCCCATATATTTGTAGAATGCTTTGGTATATTTTGCAATATTTTCAGAATGCTTTTCTAGCATATTTATCTCATGGAACCTGTAGTTTTATCAGACAGAACCTGTATAATTAAAACCAATTATAAGCTGAGCAATGTTGCTAGGTGTAAGGCTGAAGAAAATAATCAGTAAGCACAATAAAATACTTGAAATATACTTTAATACTGGCAGAAAGATTAAGGCACCAAATACATTTTCTGCAACAATCTAACACATCTATTTGCTCTTCTGAAATGGTTCATCATGTCTGCAACAACCGCATACTGTGAAATGGTTGGTGCTTATAAACCACTAGGCTGACCTGTTTTTTGCTTTCTAAATACTCATGCATTTTGTTCTCCAGCTCCATGAATAAAATTTTAAAAGCATATCAGATTGTAACACATCGAAGAAATAGTGCTGAGAAAAGACTAATTTTGTCCAAATCAGGTGGTGAGTATAATAATTGACATGAGTCATTTGTATTGCTTCAACATTGTCATGGAAAGTCAGATTGTACTGATGTAAGTACCTGTCAAGTGACCAGTTCTGTGTGGTTAAAGTGTGGTAAGATAGGGTGTGACTCAAAAGGAGGGGGGGAAAATTGCAAATATTTAGATGGCAGTCTCGCTATAGCAACAAAAAGGGCAGCATTACTGGCTGATGTTTAGATAAACACACGTTTTAATTTCTGATTGGAACATCTGGACAATGGAGCTAGCAATGGCCTAGCAAAGACGCTCATTTGTGACTTCAGGAAAGCCATTTAGCCTTCCTGCTTCAGGTTCCTCATCTGTATGAGGAGAAGAGACTTTCTTCCTATGAAGTTTCATGATTCGAAGGTTTTTGGTGAAACGGAGGGGTTGTCTATTTAGTGACTGCATTAAAAAATACTTCAAGAAGTGATGTAGAAAATTCTTTGATGAAAGGTGCAAGTAATTAATGGCTACTTCTTTGAAATATACTGGGATATAATAGTGTTTCTAAGATTATCGATCCACGTTGGGTCTTTAAACGTACCATTGGATTTAGCACCTTGTCTTTATCACTACCTCGGTATTTAACCTTCCACATTCTATTGAAATTAGCTCTTCCTGTCCCTTTCTGTCCTACTAGAATGTAAGTTTTTCCAAAGTAGAAACCTCATCTTATTAACGTATTCCCTAAGTTAATAAGTGTGCTGGATGTTCCAGCACAATGTCTGGCATATGGAATGTATTAATCACGCCTTTTTATTTTCTGTATTTCTGATGCTTTGACATCTGGGGTCTTGCGGACCCTGGAGAGCCCACCCCTCCGAGGGCTGGCCAATTCTGAGAGAGAGTAAATGACTCTCCTTCAGCTCCTCCTTTCATATGAAAACTAACCAATCCAGAGCCACATCCCCACCACCTCCTCTATTGGCTCTCACATTTAAGGCCACTATTTCCTGGTCTAGTCAACCCAGAGCCAGGTAGCAGACAACTAGGGACAATCCCTTTGCCCCAGAGCCTGCTGAAATTATTCAGACTGGCCAATCCTAAATCGGCTTACCCTGCTTCACTCATCCCTTCCCATGGAAACCACAATGAAGCCTCTTGCCCAGGTTTTCCCCTCACTCCCTCTGCCTCCTGACTGACTCTGGTGCTTCCCCATGTGACTCACGCCCATCCCCCCCCCCCCCCCCTCGTCCCATGCAGTGTGCTCCCTACTCTTGGAAACTGTCTTTCAATGGTTGTCACCTCCTGATCTGCCGGCTCAGCATACCTGAATAATAATAAAACCTACATTTTAAAACATTGAACTAATCAAAGAATATGCTTACAAACAAAGGATTGAACAAACAGCTTAAATAATACCTACCATAGTTTCTGCCTTAAG